CATTGGAAAGAAGTCATACTGCACACTGTGCTTTCTACGTAAATGCATTCGATTCTGCCTTATTGAAAAGAAGCCTGAAAAGTTGATAGCCTGAAAATCTCGATCAGGCCTTACCATTATCTTCAACGAAATAAGGCTACCAGAAATACTTCAATTCACCTAAATATCACGACAGCGACATTCCAGGGGTTACAGACTTTCTTTCCTTCTTTTTTCCACATTCATCCAAAATGAGGTTCTGGAACATTTCGTCCAACCTTTTGGTATGAGCTCAAAGGACACAATATCAAAGGCATCACAATTTCCTTTAGAGACAGGCTACCATCACCTTGTTGACCAGTAACAGATACTCGTGACTGTAGCAGTTGAAGAATAAAATGTATTACACCTGATCTGTGCATTACATATTTTTAGGCTTGAATTTTTGAAATAACCTCAAAAGGATCAACCATTTTTCAGGTGTATCGAAAGAGCTATTTGATGATTGATGTAAATAGATTGTAGATTTGTGTCTAGTGTCGATATTATTTTCGGCGAGATCAACAAGCTTCCATTTTTTCAAGCAGTAGCAAATATTTAAGCTTTGCTACGCAAGTGAAGCAGAACTCTCGCCAGTTTAGCAATTTAGTAAATTTTCGACTATATTAATGCTAAATTAGCCGTACTGTTGATCTTCATGCTTTTTTGGTCTTCGATTTAAACTTCCATTACATTGAAGCCTTCTGATTCCACGGTTGAAGACAGTGAATTGGATGAATCCCATCAAGGAATCAATAAGCTTCTCATTCATTCTTCTTTTTATTCCGTTACGTCGAAGATAATGCCGGATATCGTATAAGTATTCCATCTGGATTGAATAAACGGGTGTATCTAATAATAAATCGCACTGTTCAGTCCTTTCGATGTCATGTCACTTCTAACGCGATCTTCCCATCCTGTTGGAAGTATTCTTGGCGTTGCCTGCCATCAGACATGTTTCCTATCGTCCGTTTGTTGACAATTGTCCCACCATCTTAAATATCCTGTTTATAGTCAGTCAATCGCCTTAGTTGGATATTCTGGTCTCTCTTTTATGACACCGGCTCGTACCACCTCTCTAATACTGATCTCAAAATCTTCATTTCCATCGCTTTCAGTTTTCAGCTCATTAAGTGCTACCGTCTCCAAGCCGTGTTCAGAATGCAGGCCCTGTTTATCCGCAGGTTGTTGCTATTGCTGATATCTTTCTTCCTTAAGATCTTGGATATATTATTCCTCCTCGCTAATGCCAACGCAGGGACTTATTGTTCCTCTTAACTTCATTTGCCAGTCGTCTGTCCGCACCTGTGTATTTCCAAAACAAAGAGATATTTTGGTACCTTTTCAATAACTTTCGTGTCAGGTGCCTGACAGTCTTTGACGTGGGTTCTATTGAGCTACATCCACTTCGTCTTTAAGTTAAGCGAGAAACCTAGACGAGAACACCGCAGCTTCGAAGTTGTCAGCGAGCTATACGATATCATTAGCAAATGCAAGAGAGTGTGCTCATTCTTGATTTAGTCAAAATAACATCGCAAATAGCAGAGGAGTGTCTGTGCCTCCTTGACCTACTCTCTGTTTTCTCGAATCTTCCATTAATTCACACTGTACGTGATGAAAGATAGCAGAAGGAATGTATTTAAATTGTGTGAATAATCTCTTGTGGAATACTATATTGTTAAACTTTCTAGAAGGCATCTCTCCAGATCGAGCTTTTGTAAAATCGATAAACATTGCAAATAATTTGGGTCCCAGTTTTTTCTTCTTTCCATTAGTTGTCTCATTGTGAATATCTGGTCCAAGCATCCTCTATCTGTGTGAATCCGTACTGCTTTTGAGCCAAGATATTCTCGACATGTTACCTACTTCTGCTCACTGAAGCACACTGAAGGAATGGAGACTAGGTTGATTTTACGGCAGTTGCTTGGATCCCAACAACACCCATTCTTCAATATTGAACAACAGGATCATTTGTCCAGTCATTCTGAATCTCCTCTTTCTGCCATACCAATCCAAAGAGACTCACTACTGCTAGCACTCCGTTCATTCCAGATTCTTTAATTGATTGTGGTTTTATTTAATCCTAATTCCTGCTCCTGTGCCATTTTTCAGTTGGCTTGAAAAATCTGTCACTTCTTCAAGGGTCGGCGGTCTATCAGTCTTTTGTCTAGAAATATTATCAGACGTGAATCTTGTTTCACAAACAAATGGTTGAGTAACGACTAAAAGTATTTTCCTCATATCTCGATAATTTCTTAAAGATAAGACGTGATTTTACTGCCCTCTTTCATAAAGAACGAAAGTAGCAATGAGAATACCTGAACAAGGTCTTTATACAGGGAGGTGGCGCAGTTGGTTAGTAGGTTGCTTTGTTCGTGAGGGTGCGGATTCAAACGCATCGCGCGGCAAGAATATTCTCTGTTACCCTCTAATTCCATTGAGTGAAGGATTCACTCAATTACATCCCTGCGAATAATGGTGATAGCATGGTGCCTTGATGTGGTCATGCCATGCCTGAGCCATACTGCCATGCTGTCTGATGCGTGCGCTTTACGGCTTCAGTTCTCCCTTAAGTCCACTGCCCCCTCCTTCGCTGTAAGTCTGCTGACAGCTGACTACAAATCAGCACAGAATGTAAACGTAAATTATAAGAAAAGTGCTTTTCGAACCACGTCTTTCGTTATTTCAGCCTGCCCCTCTTGCAGAGAACGGATTTATCTTTCCTCATCTTCATCTTCCATCGCCGTTTTTCCTTTCGGATCGCGTAGGCAGACGCGTCAGACTGTGCTTCCAACGTTCCCGATCCTGTGCCAGAGTCTGAGCTTCGGCAAAAGACAAATGGATTCGGGAACAGACTCCTTCCATATGTTTGCACCAGATTAATCTTGGCCGTCCCCTGGCCCTTTTGCCGGTCGGATTTGCAAGGAACAGTTACTTAGCCTTCCTTTCTGGAGGCATTCGCAACATATTTGTCCTTAATGATTTTTTAATTCCTTTCTGAACCTCTTTTCTGACAGTTTGTCTGTTATTGATCTTTGCAAGCCGACTCCTTTTTACATTCGTTTAGTCTCCAAACTTATCCACAGGTTCGTTCCTCTTCTGGACCTTTAAGCTTTAAACCTTTTACGGTAGATTTTTAGCAGCTAATCATAGATCGCAAGTTAGGTTTAACTTTAGCAATCACCAGCTCGTGACCGGTGCCGGATTCAACACTTTTTTGCACCATAATCAGGTCAGTATGTTCACTTCTGTACAATTTCTACTCTATGTACCATTTCAGATGTCACCTTTAGGCTATTATTCATTCACTTTAAGATCTTTTGTTTGTTTCCTTTTGCGGCAGTAGCTTCATGACGTTTATCTACGAGTCCTGGGGATTTCCATTAGTCCTGGTCTTCATAGGATTGATTCTTGAGGGCGATATTACCACATGTTCAGTATACTGTGGCCAATTGGTTCTCAGTTTGCCTTTTGACTGTTTCCAAATTGCCGTCGCTATCCATTGGAAGCATAATGTTATGGAAACAATTAATCTAAGTAAATTTCAAGGCTTTTTTCTGTGAAAAGCCCGGAATTTGCGCCGTTGTAATTTCAGCTAGAAAAGTTTAACAATATCTGAGTTATCATCAAACTGTTTCTGAACGTCAAAGGCTTGGACTTTGTAGTATGCCACTCTGCATGAGGTTTTTCCTATCTTTCTAAGCTGCTAAACTTTTTGTTCGATTCCTTAGACGACCAAGTATCGCTATAGCATT